ACTAGTCCGGTGGATTTGGGTCCTCACCCAAAGCCAAAAGCTAAAAGGAACAAATTCGCTATTCTATGCGCAATTTTAGCTTCCATGTCTTCAATCTTACTAGGTTACGGTGAGTAAAACACTCCCATATGGAAAATTAACTCATCTCTGTTTCAATCATTTCGTTAATTCTTTCGATCTGAAGCAGATATCGCCGTGATGAGCGGAGCTGTGATTTTCATCAAAGACAATTTCAAGCTCTCAGAGGTACAGGTAGAAATTATGGTCGGAATAATCAACTTTTACTCGCTCATCGGCGCTGCCGTCGCCGGAAGAACTTCGGATTTGATTGGGCGTCGGTACACGATGGTGTTGGCCGGAGTGATCTTCTTCGTCGCTGCCGTGCTGATGGGATTCGCCCCCAACTATGGCTTTCTAATGTTTGGAAGATTTGTGGCCGGAATCGGCATCGGATATGCTCTGATGATCGCTCCGGTGTATACCACCGAGGTTGCTCCGACTTCATCTCGGGGATTTTTCACCTCGTTTCCGGAGGTCCGTCTTCCATTTATTAATATGATGTTACAAATAATAAGTGCAAATTTCAAATGTGAATGAGCTATTATGTATGTATAAACATCTAAAAATGTTTGATTAAAAGGTGTTCATAAATGTTGGAGTATTGCTTGGCTACGTTTCAGACTACGCCTTCTTCAAGCTACCCACTCACCTGGGATGGCGATTCATGCTCGGAATCGGCGTCTTCCCCTCTGCTTTCCTCATTCTCATCGCTCTCCTCATGCCCGAATCTCCTCGCTGGCTCGTCATGCAAGGCCGCCTCGCCCACGCCACTTCCGTTCTCCTTCGTACCTCCGACTTCCCTCACGAAGCCCAACTCCGCCTCGCCGACATCAAACAAGCTGCCGGAATCCCTCCCCATTGCACCGACGACGTCATCCATCTCCCCAAACGCCGCCGTAGCGGCAAAGACGTCTGGAAGGATCTCTTCCTCCGCCCAACACCGACGGTCCGCCATATCCTGATCTCTGCCATCGGCATCCACTTCTTCCAGCAAGCCACCGGCATCGACGGTATAATGCTCTACAGTCCGAGAATCTTCGAACACGCCGGACTCACCTCCTCCAACCATAAGATCCTGGTGACTATGGCCATTGGATTCACGAAAACAATCTTCATCTTAGTCGCGATGTTCCTCCTCGATAGAATCGGACGGCGGCCGCTGCTCCTAGCCAGCGTTACCGGCAAGATCGTATCGCTTGTAACCCTAGGGTTCGGGATCATGATTGTGAATAGGAAGCGGTGGGCCGTTGGATTGTGCATTGCGATGGTTTTATCGGACGTGGGGTTTTTCTCGATTGGAATGGGCCCAATCGCGTGGGTTTACAGTTCCGAGATATTTCCGTTGAAGCTACGCGCCCAAGGCGTGAGTGTGGGAGTGATTGTCAACAGAGTAACCCCAGTGGGGTTGTTGGAATGACGTTTATATCCCTCTACGAGGCCGTAACTATCAGTGGGGCTTTTTTTCTCTACGCCGGCGTCGCCGTCGTGTCGTGGTTGTTCTTTTACTTTGTTCTGCCCGAGACTCACGGCCGGACATTGGAGGAGATAGAGGGGCTTTTTGGTAATTTTCTGTGGAAGTTTGGGAAGAATGGAGATGTTAATGTGGAGAAGGATGAGGGTGAGGTTCAGTTGGGATTATCTAATCTGACGGTGTAGGTTTGTCGAGATAAAATGTTAAAAAAGTTGGGGGAGTAAAAAAAGGGGGATAAGAAGGTAAGTTCTGCTTTTCTTAATACTGTATAATATATATTTTTTAAGTACCTCTGTCAAAAAAAAATTTAATGTTATTTATTAGATCTTTTTGCATAGCATAAATGTCATGTATAGGTTCTCACATCTTTAAACATGCCTATAAGGTCATTCATATACATAAATCAGGTTTTGTGTCACAATCGCCCTTTCTTGATAGTAGATTTGGCGATGGTGCCACACTCACCCTCAGCATTGAGTGAGTCAAGCCAACTTCGAACCACATTATCTACAGTCGGGCAACATGCGTTCAAACCTCGGGTCCCGTTTTGAAGAGAAGATTTTAGAAAATGGGAGAGAGGAGTTTAGGAAAAAGAGTTTTGAAAGCAAGAATGAGAGAGAGATGGAGAGTGGTGTTATATAACATGTAAGCAAAAAGACAATATCGTCTTAAACAAAATATAACTGTTTGGGCAGGGAGAAATTGACAACTAGTTGCATCTTGAGGCATTTTGTAACGACCCGAAATTTTCTACTTAATTTAAGGTTGCATACATATCAGTCCATACATGCGAGTGTGGGCTCACTAGTCAGTTCGCACACCGCTGGGCCACTTTCCTTGTCGGGCGAGCATACTCTGAGAGCTCCTTAAGCCGAACACCCATTAGAATTAGTAACCGTCACAACAGGGCTATGCAAAACATAACAATCGTTGTCCTGCCATTGGATGTACGCGTCCGTACCCTCGTGATGGAATAGGGGTATCCCCCAAATGCAGGAGCACACATAATGCATGAGGTCCCCAATATTTCTACTTTTATCATTAATGAATATAACCCCGTTATCATCTTTCTTGCTTAACATGTCATTTCTCATTTTTCAGTCTACGTATCATACATAATCCTAACGGGGTTACATTTCATTTCATTTATCGTGATATCATGTCATTCATAACATGTTGTATACATACAATTTAGAAAACATAACATAACGCTCCATGCTTTTAACATGTCATTTCATGACGTGTAATTCATACAACAATTACCTCAATGGTCACACAAAACAATCTAAACATAACACATCACATTACAATAAATCGTATCATAAACATGTCATATCGTTCCCTAACTTATCATAGTCTTAACGTTTCTATACCTATCACAGTCATATCATTACATGAACGTACCTTAGTCATATCATCACAGGAACGTATCCTAACGCTATCGTTCTATCAATCTATCACAAACCTATCCCTTTCTACCCATATCCTAACCATATTCTTTCATCAATCTCTTCTATCCATAGCACTCCGGTATGTAATCTAACATTAACTTTTCATGAACATATCTTACTCCTATCGTTACATTTCGTTTTGTGCATCCTTCTCGTATCCTATCTCAAACATATCCTTGAACACATCGTACCACAATTATAATCATACAATTCACATATTATAACATAATATAAGCATACCGATTCACAAATAATTCATACATATCAGTATATATGACACATGCAGAACCACTAGCACGTGTCAACATCAAATATAACTATGCCGATAGTAAGGCCACTTATCTGGTTAGCTTCAATTGTTGTCACAAATATATTCTTAATGAAAGTTCGATTCTGTCATTTGAAAAGTCAACCTATGTAAGCCGTTGTTGTCACAAATATATTCTTAATGAAAGTTCAGTTCGATTCTGTCATTTGAAATCCAAGTCAACCTACGTAAGCTCATGACATCAGTTTCTTTGAAATGTTATATATTTATAATTATATTCTTTTTTTTTTTTACTGTTGTGTGACCAAAAAAAAAGATAGAGTTATTTATTCGCACTCTACTATTTACCTTTCTTTGTATATTTAGTTTGTGGTTTTTAATTCCTGAATCTTCTTTTTTTTATCTGTATTTACTCTGTTATTTCTACTGGATCCTTCCAAATCTTTCCCTATAATGTAATCTTTCCTTATCTCAGTGTTTCTTGTTCACAAATTTGGCTACTGATATAAATTTAATCTAATATTACTAATCTATGATTTACTAGAATTATGTATAAATGATTAACATTTAGTCTAACTCAAAGCTAAACCATTGTAATAATTTAATGAAGATCTCACTGTATTGTGATTTCTAACAAAATAAAAAATAAAAAAATTATAAAAGAAAATGAAGATTTAATATATACCTTCTTGATTAGATCTATCTTCAATCAATACGGTGAATCTCAACTGAGTAAAGATCTGAGTTTGTTTTGAGTTTGTTTCTTTTTGCTTACTTTCTGTAAGGATGGGTTGAGGAGAGATAATTGTGGCACAACTATTTTTTTTTCTCAAGTAAATATGAGTTCTTTGTTTCTTTTTCTTTTAAGTAAATCTGAGTTTTTCTATTTCTTATTGCTTACTTTATGGAGGAGGGTATTTTTTTTCTCAAGTAAATCTGAGTTTTTCTGTTTCTTTTTGCTTACTTTATGGAAGGATGGGTTGATGAGAGATAATTGTGGGGAGAGTTCTAAGAGATAATTGTGGGGAAAGTTTTGAGAGATAATTGTGAGAGATATAATTGTGTGAGAGATAATTGTGAGAGATATAATTGTGTGAGAGATAATTGTGAGAAGAGTGCTAAGAGATAATTGTGAGAGACTTTTCCAAATTTACACATAACCTAAACCTAACGTGAACTTTCTCATATAGCCTTTCATACCCATTTACATTACTTACACATAGAGTGGGTGTTACACTTACTATGGACATTTGATGATTGAGCGACAACGAAATCGTCTTAACGACAGAGTTCCAAGAACAGTTACGAAATTGATCCTCATTGAGGGCAAATGAGCGACAATCAAACAAATAAAGAGGGATGAGTGTTAGCAATAATCAAATGGTTGGTCAGACAATTAATTTTAGGCAAACGTCGGGGATGAGTGGTTGAAACGAGGAGGGAATGTGGAAACATGTTTATTAGATAATAGGTAAGGATAGTTTTGCTAACCTAATAACCTCTATTGAATGCTGACATGAATTGAAAAGAAATGGTTAGAATACCATCTACGAATATTGCTAAAATGGGAGATTAAAAAATTTTGTTTCAATGATGTTTCAGTGATCTGATTGGTCTCTTCCAATCAAAAACATATTTATTCTAATCACGAAACCATTATGACTCAAATAAAATTCAAGGAGATCGATTAGATCAATCTATTATGATAAAAATAAGTCAATCTAATTTAACTAGACAATAAGAACTCCATTTATTCAGCGATTCGAGCGCATTTGGAGATGGCAGTGCAACTGCGATGATACGGATTAACCTTCTTACGCTTCTTGCAATCATAGTACGAGCTACCATGCTGGCCACAAAGGATACTACTCGGCCTCAATGAATAGTAGCTCAAATATCTATTGCGAGAGTACTTATTGTTGGTTCCATATTGGAAAAGTTGTCGTCGACTATCTTCAGTTGCTGAAGTGGAGTCTCCATCGAAGAAGCCATATTTGGAATTGTCGTGGGTGAGGGATGTCTCATAGAAGGCGAAAGAGTGTGGAGCAGCAATGGCCGAGACGAATACGACGAATACGAGAAATAGGCAGAGCTTCATCGTTCCCATGTTTTGTTTGATGGTGGTAAAAGGTGTTTGTGAAAATGAGTGTTGAGAAGCTCTTGATTTTCGTCTCTTATTTATATACCCAAGTAATTGTTATTTATAAACTATCTAAATTAAGACTCTCTATAAATACACAATACATAGAGTTGACTAAGTGCCATTGACCTAAACCTATTTATCTTTTTAATTATTATTTTACCCACTAATTATTATTATTTTTTAATAATATTCCATTTCCTAGCTTAATTTAGCCTAATAAATTAGAGCTCATGTGGGTTAAATTCTAATGTTTGCCCTTGGTCATTTTTTTTCTTTCAAAAATACTCTTTTTGGGTTATTTTTCTCATATAGCCTTTCATATCCATAGGGTGTTACATTTACGACGGGCATTCTGATGATTGGGTAATAACGAATTCGGGATGCAAGGAAAATTATGAAATTGAAGACAATCGTAAACTATATTGATCCTAAATGAGGGTGGAATGAGAGACGATGAACGACAACTTTGAGGTGAATGTGATCAAATGAAATTAGAGTCGAAGATGAGTTTTTGAGTGAACAATAGACCATCGAAGAAATGAAGAGATGGAGGTAAAAATGAACATGTAAAGTCACTATCATATGCATGGCTTAACTTATTGTGTGGAAATATTCATTTAAAACGATGTCATATAGACTTATAAGTTTAATTAAGAGTTTTAAAATAAAACAAATGAAATATTTAAATAAATCAAAATAAAACAAAAGGAAAATATTAAAGGAGAAATGACCTATACTAATCTAAAATCTATGAAAATAAATGCAACTATCCTATGCAAGTTCCATGATTTTTGGTGCAATGTCGCCGTCAACCGTATAGGGTTGTCTTGCCTTTACCTGAAATATAAAAGTAGTATATGACTTGAGTATTTTAAGAAATACTCACTAAATGATCCCACTATTGGGGTTAAAGAATGCAAACACATCAATCATGATTAAGAACGTATCCTTAAAACCATCATAGAGGTGACTTCCAGTCCAGAAAAATTAAATGTGTAGTACTTCCCTACACACAACCCACGTGTGCAACCGTGAGCCTACCAGGTGGTTCACACACCCCCTGAGTCCATCATAGTCGAGTTAATTAGCTGTAGCCGAACGTCCGGAGGTACGAAAAACCCTCGAATATCATGCAAGGCATGATGATGATGATCATCATAGTGTATGCGTTCATACTCATCATCATAAAAGAGGGAGTATCCCGATGTAAATGAGTATACAATATGCATGAGGTCTCTATACTTTTCATATTAAAATCATTCATATGACACAACCTCACACATCTTTCACATATTACTTTAGGTAACATGCATGTATAAGCCTTCATACATTCATCATTTATAACATCATTTAGGGGTTGTGAATTAGAAAACTCAATCATAATGCAACATGACATTTCGTACATGCACATCATCGTAACATGAGATATCATCATATTATGTCATATCATCATCATGTATCTCACGTCATCACATCATAATGCATCATCATCCTAACATACAGTAACATAGTACATCACATTAGCATAGAATCATAGCATCATCGTAACACGTCATAATGTCATATCAAATCACATCAGCATAACAACACATCCTAATAGCATAATAACATACATGACACTTGCAACGGCCGTGGATCGAAGAAAACAGATTTTAGATTCATAAATTAGGAGAACTAATTTTATAGCTTATGCTCCAATTTCAAAGAAACCCAACTCCTTAATCATTTAGGATTTCTCAAATCTTTTATAGTTTAAATTGGAAATTAAAAAAAAAATTATAATATAGTATTTATAATTTTAATCTTATACTATAGTCACTCGAAGTAAACACAAGAGAAGAAAAACAACTATCTCACCTACGATATCTATACTTGTCACAATTGTACTCTTGTGGTAATAGAATAGCGCGCTTATATGACAGTTGTTATAATTCAACGAACAAGTTAACCTGCGAAATTTAGATTTCGCGGACAATAAACAAATGCTTGAACCTCGGGTCACGTTTAAAAAAAATGTCTTAGAAAATGTGAGCGAGAAAATACGTTAATTTTTTTTTTTAGAAAGCAATGTTATAAACTAAAATGCATACTTGCCACTTCTTTCAACATCCTCAGAATAAAATTCATAATTCAAATCGACCATAGCTAAAATAATATCACTAAAATTAATAAAAACTACGCAACACTTTAGAGCATGCAAAATAAGCGGATTATAGGAAACATTTGGCAAACAACAATAACTACCATCTACACAACAATAGCTAACATTTGCAAAGTGTCACGATCATACTTGTTCAAGTCCTGTTGCATGTGACTACATGTCAGATGTCTTTGTCATGCTTGTCTAAGATGTGTTATCTATAGCCACATAGCCATTCCAAACCCCTTTTACTTGCTTTCATGTATAGGTAGGTATTTACTATTTCTATCGTGTCAACATGGGGGTGTATGTTTACCAAAATTATGTCTACACCTGCCAGGACTAATATGCCCCAAGATGTACTATAGTGGATAAGACTAGTCGTCAATTCTTTCTACTCGGATTATATGCTATTAAAGTTGTGATTGTTTCTTATTTGCTTTTAACCTATAACATTGATTTCTTAAAAATTATTTTTAATGCATTTCATCGCTCACGTTTTCTCAAACATGTTCTCTCATATGTGACCAAGGCTCAATCCTATGTCCAAATTGTCTGCGACTTACGATTTCCGTATGACTAACTTGTTTGTCAGGTTAGAACAAGTTTCCCACAATCTCTATCTTGCTACCACAAAAATGTGACTGTGACAAGTGATATAAGAACCGAGCCAACTCCTTGAATCATAGTAATCAAATATTTCCACTACGAAATAATTGGATAAGTCTTAGGCTAACCAATTGGTAGTAATTGAAAATCGGTTGCTCTACCTCAATGAAGTTCCAGATGGAATGAAGCTTTTGGAATCTCACACGAATGAGATTGCCGCTAAAGCCGATAGGATCGATGAAATGGCAGAGGCAATGCTCGTCCATGAATTATTAGTTAAGGGCCTAGACAATGCCCAACAAGTAATTGTTTAGATGATTTCATAAATGTCTGAGGATTTAAGAGCAACCTTTGGAGTGGTCAGGACTAAAGTGGTAGATTTAAGCACCAAGTTAAACTACATCATGAGAGCAGTAGAGAATCAAACTCTATTTAGGGGTGTGGACCAATTTAACAAGGTAAAGGTCCTAGAGCCTTATCTCTAAGCCCTTATATGGGCAGAATTTTACGAGCTACAAATACCATGGTAGAAGAGGTGAAGGTCATGTTGGCCACAATGTATCTAGCTGACGATGCAAAGTTGTGGTGGAGATCTAAGTACATGGGCATTCAAGATGGTCGATGTACTGTGGATACTTGGAAAAGTTAAAACAAGAGCTCCTCTCACAAATCTTCCCCAAGAATGCTCAGATAATAGCTAGGAAAATGTTAAGGAAGTTGAGGCATACTGTGAATATCTTAGACTACATTAAGTAGCTTTATGTGGATATTTGCGACATGTTTGAGAAAGACCAAGCTCTACGAAAAAAAGTTCAAGATCTTTCCACGCCCTATACTACAGTTGAACAACTGATTAACCTTAGCAATGATCAATCTCATGATGTAAAGCGAAACCAGGCTTACTCAAACGGGGTAATAGAAATTACCAACCCAAGTTCCCTAAAGGTGAGGAAAGTGATAGGTGGAGGAGGATAATGTGAGTCCTCCCGACATAGAGGTAGAACTCCATGACATAGACCTCACAGCTAGAATGGTCACAGTCAAGGCCCCTTGTCTTGCTTCATATGCAAAGGGGCCTACCAAAAAACAGAGTGCCTACAAAAGACGACACTTTATGTCTTCCAAGCGAAATTTAGAACGAAGTCAAAAGTTGAGTATGAGATGGTGTAAACTGAAACCTTGCTAGTTGAAAACATTGAACACCCCGCATGGGGCACTAAAGCACTAGTCTACTCTCCAAAAGAGAGTGGAAAAGATAGAAGAGCTAGAGGAACACAATTTTATGTGTGTCGAGGCGGGTTAACCTGAGAGCGACCAAGAACACTTATTGTTGAAATTTGTCATAAATTTTTTATTTAATTTAGTTATTAACTCTAATCCATTTATAACTCTGGATTAAATAATAACATTATTAATTTGGTTATTAATTTGTAACCATTTTAATATTAATCCTTATTTAATTTCATAACGTCTAATGATTCAAACAATTGTCTTTATATAATGGGCTTGTCTAGGAGGTTGAGTATATCGAAATTTTATAGAGTTTTGTGTGTCACATTGTATTTCTTGAGTGACATTTTGGTGAGAGTCTTTGTAGTGTGAGGGTGAGGTATTCGCTTCTAACACTTTGATTATTAGTGATTGGTTGCCACCAGTGGATGTAGGGGAACTTCTTCTCTCCGAACCACGTAAATATCTTGGTGTCTTTTTGTGTAATTCCGTTCATTGGTGTTGTGAGTACATTTGTTCCGCTTCCACTACAACAATCAGTATCATAGTTTTGTGGTTGTAGCATTTGGCACACAACACTTATCATTCTGGAGCCACCCATAACTTCATGACGGAGACCAAAGCAAAACACTTGAACAAACTTTGGCATCAAGATGTAGGACAAATGATAGCGGTCAATTCGACAACCCTACATATTTTAGGAGTTACAAAGAGAAGTCCAATCAATCTCGAGACTTAGACTAGATAAAGTGACTTTGTGTTTATCAAGATGGATGACTTGGACATCATGGTAGGGATGAGTTTTGTAAGGATACAAAAACAAAATGAAATTTAGAAATGACACTCACCGGAAATGTGAGATTTCCAACGAGCGCCGTAAATCTTGTGGAAGCAACCGCCTCTCCACAACTTCATAACCCCCTCATGCCCCTCCACCACGGCAGATGTACAAGAGAGAAAGAAAGGGAGTGAGAAG